TTTTTAAAATAAATACCATTAATCCCTGTTTATTTTAAATATAATATAAAATATTAATCCCCGTTTATATTATATTTATAAAATACAAATCCCGTCTATTTTAAATGCAACACATATTTAAAAAATGAAAAGAAAAAAGTAATCCCCGTATAATATATGGCGTACGCCAACATTACTTTAACCAGATTTTTTGTTGCCGCCAGCGTTGCGTTCGCGAAATGTCCGAATTGTAAGTGGAATAAACTGAGGCCAGAAGCAGCAGATTGTTTTCCTAGCAATTATAAATCTGGACTAGCCTCAGAAATAGACGGCATTTCATTCAATGGGGAAAGACAATGCAGTTGAGGCAGGCAGCCGTAAATAACGTAGACACTGATAATAACAAAGAGAGAAAAGACAAAACGAAAACTAAAATATTTATGTGGCTTTCAAAAGGTCTGCTTTTGTAGACGATGGAATATCTATCTATCTATCTATCTATCTATCTATCTATCTATCTATCTCAGTCTATTCATTATCTATCTATCTATCTATCTATCTATCTATCTGTCTCAGTCTATTCATTATCGATCTATCTATCTCAGTCTATTCATTATCTATCTATCTATCTATCTATCTATCTATCTATCTATCTATTACAATGTTGTTTTCTTTTTCTATAGGAATTTTCATCATAACTTCGCTTCCTAATGCAAATTACAATATTACTTAGTTTCAAATATACATATAATAATAATAATAATAATAATAATAATAGCTGGCCATTCGTATTCGAGGATACCCGTCTATTCGGACGTCAACCAATCCCTGTAGCAGACTGAGAGCATACCTGTGGTTTATACTCGGAGGGACCCACGATAAAAAATGCGTGTTATCTAGCGTGATCAACAATATGAACAAGGCCCGGACGAGGTTCCGCTCAAACTCTCAGTCACGGTGACTTGTAACTTTGTTTTTGCTAGGAAACAGCTATCCTTGTGCGGCTTCCAAGTGGTCAGTCTAATCACAATTTCACTCATAAACCATCGTGGTATGGTTTTCCGCAGGCATTTTTCAATATATATATATATATATATATATATATATATATATATAAAAAATGACCTGTGTCGTACGCAACCCTCGTGGTAAGAACGTAAACTTTTCCGATTATGAGACCAACATTCGAATGGTAGATACATCAGTTTTTACGAGTCAAATTTTTTGACCCACGATTCTTCATGCTGTCTCAGTTATCGGTCGAATGCCTCCCCGAAGGGCAGAATCCTGTCCTTTGAGTCAGCACTTAGGGCCCAAAACCCACGATAAAAATTTTCTTTTGCTATACAATCTTAGAAACATCATGTATCGAGAGATCCAAAGATATTTTCTTTTATGGTTTTGTGGGAAAAATGAAATGAAATCGATAAATAAAATAATAATAATAATGAATAATAATATAAAAAAAAAAACCTACATTACCCATGATGCTAAGAGTAAAGACACCGGAAATAGGATTTCCCCACATAGTGTCGTCAAACAGCGCTGGTTAAGTTTATAAAAAGACAAACATTTTCCTGTTTCACGTTCATTCTCTTTTTTGTTCCCATGCAATAATTACGTTCCCATTGGGGAATATTAATTTCGCCTGTCCACAAACGAATGAACTCTTTTCCCACGTTCCAATGCATGGCGTTCACACTTGTCTTCCAAAAGACTTAAAGCTGTGAATGACCTATCTCGTTTTTACGAGTCATACGTCAAACTTTCTCTTTGGTTGTTCCAACTCAGCGCAAGTCTGACTTGTGCGTGACCATTGTAACGATGCTTATACTTACTTACTGTAACTTCGGAACCAGGAAAAACAAAACGGACATCCCATAACCATGCTTAAAACCTCTAACGATAAAGTAAGCACAAACCTTCTTTTGGTTGTTCCAACTCTGCACAAGTCTGAATTGAGCTCGACCATTAATACGATGATTATTCTTACTTACACTATCTCCTGGACCAAAAAGGAAATGTATCTACTCAAGAGTCTTTTGTTTCATTTTAATCTCTATGAAAATGAAGAATACAGCCTGTAGTAGAAACCCGAGTTTCTTTCTTTGTTGATCATATGTGAACATGTACACATCTAAAATGCACCATAGATATGCAGTCTTTTAAATTACATAGTTAGCTACTGAAAAGTTTGATGTTTGATCTGATCAGTTGCTTCACTAAACAACTTAGGCCCTTATCAACCGGTCACACTAGATCGTTATATTTTCCGTTATTTTTTTGCTTTCTCTCAACTGAAGAAATAAAACAAATCGTTATTTAATTTTTTTTGATATGATTTTCTTTTATTCGTGTTACGATTTTCGTTATGTTTTCTTTCCGCCAAATCAGATGGGGTGATACCCTTTTTTAATGTTCTTTATCCCTATTGTCATGGGTTCTTACCTATAACTACAGAATGAACTCTTCCTAACACTATGTATACTACGCCTCTCAAGAGAGAGGGTTGAATCAAGCCGATCTTTTCGACTTGACGGTCGAACTCTCTGCTTTTCAGCAGAAAGGAACCCGGACGAGGTTCCGCCGAAGGGCAGAATCTCGTTCGGGGTGAATGACCTACCCTATCTCGTTTTACGAGTCATACGGGCATATTTTTTGGCTGAGCCTACGGGCTCAGGAAACCCACGATAAAAATGACCTTGTGTCGCATGCAACCCTCGTGGGGGTGGCTAGATACTGAATCAAGCCGATCTTTTCGACTTGATGGTCGAACTCTCTGCTTTTGAGCAGAAAGGAACCCGGACGAGGTTCCGCCGAAGGGCAGAATCTCGTTCGGGGTGAATGACCGGGCACCCACGATCTCGTTTTTACGAGTCATACGGGCATATTTTTGGCTGAGCCTACGGGGTTCAGGAAACCCACGATAAAAATGACCTTGTGTCGCATGCAACCCTCGTGGGGGGGTGGCTAGATACTGAATCAAGCCGAGCTTCTCGGCTTGACGGTCGAACTCTCTGCCTCTGAGCAGAGAGGAACGCGGACGAGGCTCCGCCGAAGGGCAAAGTCTCGTTCGGGGAGGTTGACCAACTCGATCCCGTTTATACGGGTTCTACGGGCATTTTTTGGCCGAGCTTACGGGCTCGGGAAACCCACGTTAAACTCGGCCTTGTGCCACATGCAACCCTCGTGGGGGTGGTGGTGGCTAGATACCGAATCGAGCCGAGCTTCTCGGCTTGACGGTTGAATTATCTGCCTCTGAGCAGAGAGGAATCCGGACGAGGAAGTCACCAACAATACATTTTTATAGCTAAATAACCAACAATAAATTTTTGTAGTAAAATAACTAACAATACATTTTTATAGTAAAATGACCAACAGTATATATCTATATCAAAATACCCGACAATATATTATATCTGTAGTTGAATTGCGTTCAAAACCTTTAGATTTTGTCATTAAATAAGCCACAGAGATTGATATGCCACTTAACAACATCGAACAACCAACACGAAAGAAACACTTCATCTGCTTAATCCTTTTTCATATCCTACAATTTCCTAAATCAAACTGTATTCCAACAATACAGATTTATAAGAAAATTACCAACAATACATATCTAAAGCAAAATGGCCAAAAATACATTTTATCTGCAGCTTAAGTCATGCAATTGAGTTCAAAATATTTAGATTTCGGCATGAAATAACCCATAGAGGTGTTGATGTGTTGCTGTACAAAATCAACCAAAGGAAAGGAAAAGAAACTCTCATTCAGTAAGTCTCTAACTTGAGTGTATATTGGGCCTAGTATTGGCTAACGAATTAGTATATATATATATATATATATGTATGCATGTATGTATTTATTATGCAGTGTTACATTAGAACATGCACATACCATACATCTTGTTTCAATATTAAAAAAAAAAACTTTTTAAACGTTTCATCAGGTGTGGAATCACGATGTGACTGCCCGTCCATCATCAAAGGCGTGGTCACAAGGTTGAGAAACTCAGAGGCGACAGGCTGTTTCATGTTAGACGCAATCGCCAGGCCGCATAAAACAGCCTGCCGCCTCTGAGTGTTGACTTCAATGTTCACTTTTATATTTATATTTACATACGCTCTATCTCTGATATTGAAAACTTTATCCCATAAATATAGCACACCTTAATACTATATTTCTCCATATATATATATATATAAATATATATATATGAAAGTGAACATTGAAGACAACCTTCAGAGGCGACAGGCTGTTTCATGCTAGACACAATCGTAAGGCCGCCTGACAATTGCCTCTAGCATGAAACAGCCTGTCGCCTCTGCGTGTTGACCTCAATGTTCACTTTTATATTTACATACGCTCTATCTCTGATATTGAGCACTTTATCCCATAATTATAGCATATCTTAAAACTATATATATATATATATATATATATATATATATATATATATATATACGTATGTATGTATGTATATTTTTCAGCTGTTTTTGAATCTAGTTTGGATACATCATTACTTTACTCGTGACCTCGCCTTTGACGAATGGTCAAAGTCTATAGTTTTGCCGTCAATAACGACAATATAATAATCGACTTAGACTTGTTTGCAGGTGTTTCGTAAAATATATCATCAAGTTCAGTATCTCTTGTCTATGTTCGCTATCCTCCCGGTTAACACACAAAAAAAATATTCTATTATTCTTTCTATCGACATTTCAGGGCTGGTAGAGGCGAATCGTATTGCCTTGTCAGGGGAATCATACACTTGATTGGTTTATCGCATCTGCGTTAATTTTCTATTGTAAAACGCCCAATCACGCTCATTATCTATCTATCTATCTATCTATCTATCTATCTCATTCTATTCATATTTATCCTTCGAATTCTTTCATATCTATCTTAGTCTGTTCATATCTATCTCATTCTGTTTCTATCTATCTATCTATCTATCTATCTATCTATCTATCTATCTATCTATCGTTTGACTTCACACAAACAGCCGAATAATTTAGCAATTAAAGAGACAGATTGAGAGAGATGGAGATAGAGAGAGAGGGAGGGAGGAGGAGGTAGCTGAAATAGGTTATAAGACGAAAAAGAAAGGGAGTGACAGAGTATGTACTAGAAGAGGGAGACGAGAGAGAGAGAGAGAGAGAGAGAGAGAGAGAGAGAAAGATAGAGAAAAAGAGAGAATAAGGAGAAAGAAACATTTGGGCGTGAGAGAGCCGTAACCGGTGGAAAGGGAATACAGAATCAACATGTGAAAACTAGGGAGGCAGAGAGAGAGAGAGAGAGAGAGAGAGAGAGAGAGAGAGAGAGAGAGAGAGAGTTAGCTTGTGATATAGAGAAACAGAGAACGAAATAACAGCTTTTGAAGCTGATCTCTACGCTGATCTAGCTCTTACAGTTTAAAGCTGGGAGGGAAGACTGACTTGTATCATTAAATACCATCAAAAATAAGCTATGAACGTTTCATCACCACCAAGCAGACCCCAAATTCAATGAGGTCATTTCACTGGAACATCTATTGGGACTAAAGTTAACACCAGACCTCAAGTGGAAGTCGTTCCATCGCTTAAGGTGATGAAGAAAAGGTCGGTCCCATGTACCGTTCCAGAAATTATTCTTCTGCTTTGCAGATTGTCAGATCGGACCAAAATTGGAATATTGTTGCCATATCTGGTCTGGACCTGTTTAACACATTCTTTTAATTCTCTTCATGTTTTTAATTGTCTTGCGTTCTTTCACACTTTTTCTTTCATTCAATGAGGAGGATCAGACAGTTTTCTTAAGTTCTTAAAAAACAGGAACTATAGAAGATTTCTAAGAATCTGGAAAGCAAACAGCACCAAACTGTGGAGCTTAGAGGGAACAGGAGCCAGAGTTCAAGAGCCCATTTCTTTAGGGCAATTGCAGGAATACCATCGAGTCAAGTTTAGGTTGACAGCAGAAACCATTGAAAGATTTATGCGCATATCACACAGTAGAGACAGTTCTTAGCGGAAAGTCTGCCAAAGATACTCTAGATGGGTTTGAGAGTAGAATTGGAAGAGAATTTACGATCATAGCATTCTGCTTTATCAACAGAAAACGCTAATACTTTAAATTGAGGGAAAAGAGAAGCTATTGAAGACAATTATTATTCAGTCGAGTTACCTCAAGCATTTATGAGTCTTTCACGCCAACTATCACGGTACTGCATGAAGGCCGAAAGGTCATTAGGGTCACATTCTTTGTCATAACATAGCTGGTCAATGTCTAGGTGTCCACAAGAGTATATAACGCCCGAGTTCTTGTTTTTCTCGCCAGCATTGTCCGGCAAAGTGCATTCTGCGTTTGTGTAAGATTGTAGAAATATCAGGGATGGGCCCATAGAGTCGTGATTTAGTTGGATGTTGTCGCCAAGAAATGTTAAGTATAGATCTCAGCATTCGGTTGTAGGTTCCATCAAGCTTAAACTCAAGGGTTTTAGTTAATGTCCAGGCAGTGGCGCCATACATTAACATTCGTAAGAATCTTACTTTGAGGTTGTCTGGTAGATCAGATTTCCGGATTACATCCATTTTATTTAAGGCGGTCGAGTTTTTAGCTATGAGAATTTTCACGTCCTTTTCAGTAGAATTTATTTCGCTTCCGAAGTATGTAAAAGATTCGACAGATTTTTATTGATTCACCGGAGACAATTTGTATTGAGGGCCTACCCTTATTTAATACACTACTGCAGGGCCTCCAGTAGTCAGGAGAACCAGTTATAAAAGAGAGAGAGAGAGAGAGAGAGAGAGAGAGAGAGAGAGAGAGAGAGAGAAAATTGGAGTGTGTAAGGAAGAGAGAGAAAAATCGGAAAGTAGGAGGCGGTAGAATAGAGAGAGAGAGAGAGAAAGAGAAAATCAGGCAATAGAAGAGGGAGAAAGAGAGAAAGCGAGAGAAAAATTTAAAGTAGAAAAAGAGAATCAGAGAGTGGAAAGGTAGAGACAGAGAGAAATCGGAAAGTAGAAGAAGAGAGAGAGAGAGGGGGAGAGAGAGTGAAAGAGAAAATAGCAATGTGGAAGGAGGAGACAGAGAAAATCGGAAAACGGAAAAAGAGAGAGAAAAAAAGGTAAAATGGAAGAAGAGAAAGAGAGAGAGAGATAGAAAGAACGAGAGAGAAATAGGAAAGTGGAATTGGAGAGAGAGAGATTAGTGGAAAGTTTGAAGAGAGAAAGAGAGAATCCGAATCTGAAAAGGGAGTAAGAAAAAGAATCGGAAAGTGGAAGAAGAAGAAGAGAGAGAGAGAGAGAGAGAGAGAGAGAGAGAGAGAAAAGGAAGAGTGAGAGGAGGAAAAAGGAAGAGAGAGGCAAAGGAAAGGAGAGAAAGAGAGACAGAATGGAAAAGTTCGAAGAGGAAGATAGAAAATCTGGAACTGGAAAGAGAGACAAAGAGAGATAGAGAGAGAGAGAGAGAGAGAAAGAGAGAGTTGTATTGGTGAGACAGAGTACGTGGAAAAAAAACGATTAAAAAAAGTAGTTGAATATTTTCATCTTATTCACTACGTAAGTAAGTAAGGAAGTAAATACTCCACGAATGGAAGCCAAAGAATAACAAAAAGGAAAGAAGAAAAGGAAAGAAAAAGGAAAGAAAAAAAGAAAAAAAGGAAAAAAAGGGAAAAAAGAAAGGAAAAAAGAAAGAAGAAAAAAAGAAAAAAAGAAAAAGAAAAAAGAAAAAAGGAAAAAGAAAGAAAAAAAGGAAAAAACAAAACAAAACAAACCAAAAAATGAAAAAAAAAAAAGAAAAAAGGAAAAAAAAGGAAAAAAGGAAAAAAGAAAAAAGGAAAAAAGAAAAAAGGAAAAAGAAATAAAAAAAGGAAAAAACAAAACAAACAAAAAAAAGAAAAAAAAAGAAAGAAATACAACACCCCTACCTACCCCTTCGGGTTAAGTTCTCAAATGATAGACAAATTAATAAACAAATTTACAGATAAATAGATAAATGAATCTGGACTTTTTCTCCCTTGACGTCGTCCATAAAAACTTGTGAAGCCATTAACTTTTCCAGTAGAGACAGTGGGCACTATTAAGGAAAAAGGGGGTCGAAGCTATGCAGGGGTCAGGCTGTGCCGAGTATTGGTGCAATTGAGGACCTGGAGGCGGTTAGTCGGCATCAGCAGTGACTGGGTCACAGCGGATATCTATGTTTTAGATAGTCAGACATCAAACGATGGAAGTGGGACTAATTTAGTTAGAAGCCGGAACGGAAGAGGCCCCCAATTACAATAATCATCTTGTGCAATGGCAATAGATCGATGTACGATAACGAATACCCCCTGTTATCCTTGCTTTAAGCCATTTGATAAGAATGCCAGTTAGAAGGTTTTTTGTAATTCAGTTGAGAGCTGCCGGTTTTTTGAAATTGAGGCATTCACATTCTGTTTTTCATGCTTTCCATACCAAGACACTCATACAGTCCAGCCACCTGAGTCAGGACACTCATTCAGTCCACCCACTTGAGTTAGGACACTCGTACGATTCAGCCATCTGAGTCAGGACACTCATACAGTTCATCCAACTGAGTGAGGACACCCATATAGCCCACCCAATTGCGTCTTGCCACTCATACAGAAGTTCCTATCGAGGTAGGACACTCATACAGTCCAGCTACAGAGTAAGAGGAAGTTGACATTTCTAGGGCACGTAATGAGGAAAGAGGGCTCGGAAAATTTGATACTCACAATACATATTGTAGGCTGGAGGAAAGCAGTCAAGCAGCGCATGAGCCCTGCTTAACGAGCTTGGATAGGAGAACATGGTTTAGGAGAGGTAGTAAAAGAAAGTCTCCTCAAAGATGAAGAAAAAGACTTGATGCAACGGAAATTTGGCCCTACAGAACGATGCTGAAGATATCATGGACCGAACATGTGAAGGAAAAACGAGATTTTAAAAATAGAAACAAAAAGGAAACTTGCACTTAACGTCCGGAAGAGACAGTTGAACTTTTTCGGGCACATAACAAGGAGATTATGCTAATATTATTCGAAAAAATCATTTATTCGAATTGTAAATTGTTTGAATGAAAATTAATGAAAAGAACAATTATACTAAATAATAATTATTCGAGATTCAAAATTCTTTATTGCAATAAAAATGTAAAATTTAAAAGAGGAAATATCATATGAGAGAAACACCCCCAGGAAAATTATCGAGAAATTGTCCTGAAGATCGAGATGAACAAGATGTGGGGAATGAAGACTGAGATTGTACCAATAGTAATCGGAGCTCTGGGCCTCTTAAGAAAAGGAATTGACAATTTTACTAACAGCGTCCCAGGTAACATCAACATACAAGTTGCCCAGAGGATAGCCTTGCTAGGAACATCCGATATACTAAGAAAAGTGCTATCAATTAAATGACAATTCTCCTATAGAGCCTAAGGATCATAGTTTGAACCCGTTTCTACAGGATAAAAAGCAGGAAACATAGCATACACAAATAATAATAATAATAATAATAGCATTTGGATTTGAAAGACAAATAACATACTTTTCAAATCCCTAAACATTCGACGATCCTATCTTTTTTTAACATAACTATAATTTACATGCTTTTAAAAAATCTGATTTAAAAGGAAATTTACAAATGAAGCTTAATTTATAAAATACGGTTCTACAGAAGGATGCTGAGGATACCATGGACTGAACATTTGAAGCAACGACAAGAGTTTAGAGAAAATGGAAGCAAAAAGGAAACTTGTACTTAACGTCAGGAAGAAACAGTTGAACTTTTTCGGGCACATAACAAGGAGATTATGCGAACATTATTCGAAAACCATTTATTCAAATTGTAAATTGTTTGAATGAAAATTAATCAAAAGGACAATTACGCTGAATGATAATTATTCGAAATACTTATGTTTGAAATACGCATGTGGCCTTGCTTTGAGATAATCAATGCTGATTTACCTCGAACTAATAACGCCCTTAAAGGTTGGCATAGGACCTAAATCCTAACCTAGTAGCACGCTTAAATTCATGCTGTGGGGCAACAGGCTCGTCACAGCAGTTGCCATGGAAATATTTGTAGAAAAGACAGAGGAAAACCACATGACGTCTGTGAGAAAGTAACTGGAGTCGAGATGCCAAAAAAACTGCTATAGATAGCTAGCTAGATAGATCAAATGCATATTGAGATCGATCGATAGATAATTAAGAAGAATGAGGTAGATAGATATATAAATAAATATGAATAGACTGATCGCATGGCAAAAGGTATTTCAACGTCACGTGACCGTAAGCCAGAGCGATAGATACAACCACACTGAGTTTGATAAATGTGATAGCTTATGAAAAGTACATAAGAAAAGCCTGAGATAGATAGATAATTAACAGACATAGATAGATAGATAGATAGATAGATAATTAACAGACATACATAGGAAAATAGATAGATATGAGCAGAATAGCCTAGATCGATTGATAAACAGATAGAAAGTTATGAGCAGACTAGCCTAGATAGATAGATAGATATGAAAAGACTCGCATAGCCTAGCATAGATAGATAGATATGAGCAGACTAGCCTAGATAGATAGATAGATAGATAGATAGATAGATATGAACAGACTAGCCTATCCTAGCCTAGATAGATAGATAGATAAATGGATTTTGGTCCCATTTGGAAAAATGCGTCCTTGTCAGAGGATTTTAGACATTTGTCTTCGTGCCAAAGTTGGCTTAGAAGAACAAATATTTACTCTTACGTAAGAGTAACAACGACGTTGAGAATATCGATCTCGTAATCCGTTGCCAGTGAGTTTGTTTCGAAGCGTTGCTCTTAGGCCGGAAGTCGTATGCTACGAAGCGTGCTTGTCTCGCGAACCGTCGACAGTGAGTTTGATTATACCGGTTACAGCATGAATTAAACCTTGCCTATCAGATCTCTAGAAAGCCTTGCCAAAGAGGTGAGCAAGCGGGTCTTAAGACTATTGCTTCGGTCCTGAGATATTCACCTACCGCCCTAAGCGGTTGGATGCGGCACAAGGCCAACTTTATTGTGGGGTATCCAAGCCCGTAGACCCGGTCAAAAAATCTCCCGTAGACCCTGTAAAAAACAGTGTCGAGTAGATGTCTTCAACCCCAGATGAGACTCTGCCCTCCGTCATAGCCTCGTCTGGGTTCCTCTCTGCCCGGAAGCAGAGAGTTTGACTAGCCTACCTCCGAAGTAATTCGGAGAGTGATCTTGCTTCGGTCGTGAGTTGTAACCACGCTGTCTGCCCAAACTTTAAGGCTATGTTAAGCTAAGGCGAGTAATTACCAGTCATCTGATTGGTGGAATAGATAGATAATTTGCATATCCTTTATCCCATTCCATGCCACTTGTCGGTGTTTCGATTCAAGTCAAAGATGCCATTTTCATGTTTTAGAAGCCAGTGTTGATTTTCAAGATACTGGAAGTCACCCTTCTTTGAAAGACATGCATAATCAAATCTTCCAACTTTTAATGTCTAACATTTTTGAGTTTTTCACGCCAAGAAAGGCCAGAAAAATCGCGATGATTCAACAGGTTACTGAGACGGAAAGAAACCCAAGAAAAAAAATGACAAGATTCAGAGAGACAGAAGCTGACGATTGGTGTTGTGTTAACATTTTTTAAACATTGTATATTACAGGAAAGCAACAATCCGGAAGAGAGTCCCACAAGCGAGAAGTGCGAGAGAAGGAACTATTAATATAGAACTTACTGTTACAATTAGCAATTTTAACAGTGATATGAAGCTATAATGAAAGTTTCTGCTATAAAATACCCCAAACAGCTGGGGAAGTTGATGTTGATCAACACAATGACACAAGTGAAATTATGAAACTACTGCCAATGTAGGATTACGCGTTGATTCGTGAAGTCGATGTACAAAACAGGAAAGCTCATCTAAGCAATTACCATGAAAATATTTATAGAAAAGGAACAGGGAATTTACGTGACGGCGACGGAAAAGATACTGAAGCCAAGATGCCTGGTCAGTACCGATAAAGTTGCAGATGCTATTTTGGATTTTGGCAATAATTCTTATATATATATATTTTCGAAAATTATAACATAAATATCTTATAAAATCACTGCAAAAAATTCAACACTTCTGGTGTCTTCTTTATTCTACATTCAACATCATCACTTGATAAGACAACAGAAGTGTTGAAACAAAATGCCTATTTTTGTAGTGATTTTATAACATTTTTATGTTATAATTTTCGAATAAATAATTATATTTGCTCTACTTTGTATTGAGCACTCTTTTGGAATAGTATTTGTTGGTTATTGAATTTAATCCGTATATATCAATCCTATACTTGGTTATATATATATATATATATATATATATATATATATATATATATACCATATATATATATATATATATATATATATATATATATATAAACTATATATATATATATATATATATATATATATATATATATATATATATATATATAACCATATAGACGTGGCACCAATATTCAATACACAGACGAATGGTAGATAGGTTCCACTATCGGCCGGTTCACACTCCCTCTGGGTTTTTTGGACAGGTGTTTAAGTCTGTCTCTTGTTTCCGGTTTAGTATTGTTTCTGGTTAATTCTAAAGTCTATTTGAACTCTGTACCTCTAACTTTTCCGCCAAAACTCTAAAATTTTATTTATTTTTTACTTTTTTCCTTCAATGGGAGTAGATAGATTCGCCTATCATCCGCTTCACACTCCAACCCAGGTTTTTTTTAAACAGGAGTAGAGGTTTTATTCTTCATTTCGCATTCAGGACTGGGTTTATCGTTCCTTCTAAAGTCTTCTAATTTTTTTTCCCTTACTTACGCGTGAGGGGCTAAATTGCCTTGACATGGTAGACTTATAAAGATGAAAATGTTGGTGATTGTACAAAGGGTGACATTCTTAATTTTCAGTATCGAGTAATGGTGGTTTCTTCAGTCCGTTCTTGTAATTCTTTAGCGCAAATTTTATGTTAACAGTTTCGTCTCTCGCACTTCTCGCTTGTGGAACTCTCTTCCGGCTTCTTGCTTCCCAGACAACTTTGATCTTCAAAAATTTAAATGCAATGTCAATCCACATCTACTATCTTCCTAATTCTTGTTCTTTTATTGTCCTCTCTCTTTAATCTTATATTTTCCCAATGTTATCTAACACTGAGTAATCCCTTGCGCCTAAAGGTAAACATTGGTAGACAAGCCTATAATGGATGAGATGGGCGGTTTGTCACCATTTTATATTTTTAATTTCGCGCATGCGCGTTGTTTGTTTTTTATTATGTCGACTGCACAGTATAATAGGGTCAGTGAGAAAAAGAGCACCATGAGGCAATTCACTCAGCCAGAAATTTAGAAACGGAATGCTGTTCTGCTTGGCATTCGCACCGGAAGCTCCAATACGAACGTTTCAGAGTGGCTGTGTGTCAATCTGAGGAAAGTGCAAAGGATTTGGAAAGAGTTGTATGAGTCTAATGGTGATTACGAAGGTACGGCAGCTCGCGAAACCCACTCTGATCGTTCTGATAAGAAAAGAGCTCTCAAATTTGTTGGTGAGTTCCTCAGACTCAACATGGAGGCCTACATCAAGGCCTTCAAGTGCCTTGAAGAAGTAGAGCTGCCCTGCATCCAGAGGGTGGCTGCTGGAAGACTCTATGTCTGGCAACAGGATTCTGCACCATGCCACACAAGCAGGAGAACCCAGTCATAGCTGTGAGACAATTTCTGCGACCACCTCACCCCTTATATCTGGCCACCTAACCCCACAGATTGCAACCCCTTAATATGTGTGGGACGCAGTTGAGTGAGAGACCAACAAAAATCCTTGTAACGTCAAAAATGAAGTGAAAGCAAATATTTTGGCAGCATTCACCAACTTAAACAAGGAGACCGTACAGAAGAGTTGCAGGAGATTCCGAAGTTATCTGGAGACCGCAGTTGAAGCCAATGGCGATTTTTATTGAATACATTTACTCTTTAGTATTTCAAGATATTGTTGTGTAATTTTGGTAAATATATCTGTTTAAATGAAAGGTTAGTGTTATTTTCATTTTTTGCGTCATTTAGACGACAATTTATCCATTGCACCCTGTAGGTTGTATCTTATAAAGTTAATCTTTAATAATGTCTTAGTGGCTTCATTGCCTTGCTTGGGGGTGAAATTATTAGAAAAAAAAAAAGGTTTGAAACGCCTAACTAATTTCTAACTGACTCTTTTCGCAGGGGAAGTTCATTCAGCTTTGAGGCAGCCTACCGAAGTGGGTTTGGTCTCTGTAAATTTCTAGCAGGGAGGGGTGGTCCTTCTCATGCTGATGGCTGAAGTGTTGGTTCTTGAATGGAAACCCCACGGACGAGGCCGACTTTCGCATTTGGTTCTGTCCAGAGATATTTCTAGTGGAATTTTCTCGTGGTAGTTGGCGGGAAAGTTTCTTCTTGAATGAGGTCGTCTGGCAAATTTGATTTAATTTGACAAAAAAAAATATGAATTAACTACATCAAGTTGCTGCTCGTATTAATAAAAGAGTAAATTTCATTAAGGGTGATGGCTAGCATTTTTATTGGAGAGAAAAAAAAAAGTAAAACAAAAAAAAAAATAAATAAAAAAATAAAGTAAGGTAAAGAAAACTTATTTATTTATCCAATATAGACATATCTTGTTAACAGGCTTACATCGATCCAATTTTAGAGGTAACGGTCAGAATCTGGACTTTTCTAAATATTTTGTCTGCAAGAAGTATATTAATCAGATTCTTTACAGCATGAAGTAAGTTTACGAACGCACACACACGCACGCACGCACACACACACACACACACGTATATATATATATATATATTGTGTGTATTCTTAGAGCAGACACTGGAGCTGCCAGCAATATAATGATATATTTGAGATACTGTAGCATCTCATTATTCAGCATATAATACACATCTATCTATCTATCTATCTATCTATCTATCTATCTATCTATCTATCTATCTCAGTCGGGTTCTATCTATCTCAGTCGGGTTCTATCTATCTATCTATCTATCTATCTATCTATCTATCTATCTATCTATCTCAATATACATTTGATCTATTTATCTAAATATGCATTTGATCTATCTATCTATCTATCTATCTATCTATCTATCTATCTATCTATCTCAATATGCATTTCATCTATCTAAATATGCATTTGATCTATCTATCTATCTATCTATCTATCTATCTATCTATCTATCTATCTATCTCAATATGCATTTGATCTATCTAAATATGCATTTGATCTATCTATCTATCTATCTATCTATCTATCTATCTATCTCAATATGCATTTGCTCTCTCCCTCTATCTATCTATCTATCTATCTATCTATCTCAATATGCATTTGATCTATCTATCTATCTATCTATCTATCTATCTATCTATCTATCTATCTATCTATCTATCTATCTATTTCAGTGTTTTCTTGTCTCAGTCCATTAACCTTTATCAAGCTCAGTCTGTATCTATCGATCTAGCTTTGAAACACCGGTTACCGCACGATCACCGAAATTAAGCAACGTTGAGCCTGGTCAGTACCCAGATGCATGAGCGATTGGGAATATCAGGTTCTGTAAGCTCGGGTGTGGTTGTTGTCAATGTATACTGGCTCCGAATTCTTCATTGTAGAGCCAGAGTTCCAGTTCCCGTTGGGTTCATTACATTCACTCAAGCGCGAATACCATTTGGCAAGGTATGAATCCACCTCTTCTCCCCAACTATGGGTTAATTAGTAAGACTTAGCGCAAATGAGACATTCCTTCCTGTCACGTTTATCTTTTGTGCGAGAAACGATATTATTTCTGTTTGCTGCTCTTGCAATCGTTGTTGCTCTTGTAGTTGTCTTAAGTGCTGAATGTTTGCTGTCTTTAAATCTTCCATTTTGGTAGGAATTCGAAGACTTCGTCGCCCCTGTTGTCATGCTGTCTTTGTTCAAAATAGTAGAGAATTAGGAAGGCTGTAGTTAGAGGGAGGATTGAAGGAACAGAAGACTAGGCAAAGAAAACAAAGAAGGGGTTTATTAAGTACTCATACATAGAACGAAAATACTTGAGCAAATCAAATACTACTCAAATCCTATTCTAATGTGGCTACCTGCCATATTTATAAGTAGGTGCAGTACATAGTTACAGTAGTAGTACGCTGAGTTCTACTCTTCAACAACTAAACCATTAATAATTCTTACAATGCCTCAGAAAAGTAATTATCTATCTATCTATCTATCTATCTATCATTCTATCTATCTATCTATCTATCTGGCTATGTCTTGCACGCCCGTTGTAGGCACTTGAATAGTAAAGTAAGTAATGACAATGCAAGATTGGCATGTTTTATCACATCGGCTACAGAAGAAGGTCAGTCAGCCAATAGAAGCTCCGGCCTTATAGAGCTTCCAATTGTTTTCTTGTTTTAGCGGCTTGATTCTGTGAATTTGCCTGAGAGATCTTATGTCTCCGTGTCGTTTTTGTTGGTGGTGCAATGGATAATGGCCCCGAATTGTTAATCGGACAGCAGAGTTCCAATTGAGTTCTATCTCCCCGAGCTATGGTGGGTGATAAACTAGTAAGTTTTAAATTTAATGGGGGGATGATAAAAGTTGTACGTAAGAATTGTATCATTAAAACATTAGTAACTCCCCCCAAATTCTTGCAATCTAAAAAATATTACCTCATTCCTGCAATGTGTTGATAAGCCCTAGGAAACGAAACAATCAGTATCTATCATTATTCATCTATTCATCTATCTATCTATCTATCTTCATCTATCTCAGTCTGTTCATATTCATCTATCTATCTATCTATCTATCTATCTCAGACTGTTCTATCTATCTATCTATCTATCTATCTATCTATCTATGTCAGTCTGTTCGTATCTATCTATCTATCTATCTATCTATCTATCTATCTATCTATCTCAGTCTGTTTGCATTCATCTATTCATCATCTATCTATCTATCTATCTATCTATCTATGTCAGTCTGTTCGCATTCATTCATCTATCTATCTATCTATCTGTATCTATCTATCTCAGTCTGTTCGCATTATCTATCTATCTATCTATCTATCTATCTATCTATCTATCTATCTATCTCAGTCTATTCATATCTATCTATCTATCTATCTATCTATCTATCTATCTATCTATCTATCTCAGTCTATTCATATCTATCTATCTATCTACCTGGCTCTGTCTTGAACGCCCTTTGTAAGCACTTGAAAGGTAAGTAAGCCAATACAGAAATGGCATGTTTTATCACATCAGCTACCGGAGAAGGTCAGGCAGTCAACTAACCCTGCCGAAATTATAGAGCCTCCACTTCTTTCTTCGCTTTTTTAAATGTCTTGGCGGCTTAATCCTGTAAATTTGCTGGGGGATTTGTGTCGTTTTGTCGGTTGCTTCTGTTTTTTTTTTCATTGAATCTACATCAGAAAAGTTTTCCTTTGGCTCATTCACAAGTATGATGATGAAAGAATGTTGTTAGTTCATTCGTCCTCTTTCAAATGTTATGGGTAATAATTGGTGATCTTAAGATTACCCTATGATCTGTCATTTATCTGTCTATCTCTCTCATCTTCCACGTGTCCATTGTTGGCTATCAACTATATATGTAATTTAGCCTGTCAGTTTGTACAATGGTTTAAATATTAATGTATGTTCTCTAAGGGTTTTTTTGTTTTGGATAATATATAGACAGTAGCCACATAACCGTGCTTTGATAACCTACTTTCTGAAATCTATTTATTTTTCTGAAAGACAATCAGCGAATAAACGAACAATCCAGCCCATTGGTTAGTTTTTTTGGTCGAGTATTTTTGGAAAGAATTTTTCTCCGAAATTATTTTTGGCCTAGAAAGACTCAATGGATAGATCTTTGTATAAACAAATTAGTCTTAAGGTCTTTTAGATATATTTTTTATTTTATTTCGGCCAACAATTTATTCTGTCTGCTTTGGCAGAAGAAGAAAAGTGGAAGCTCTATGAGGCCGGAGCTTCTGTTGGCTGCCTGACTTCCTCCTGTAACCAATGTGATAAAACATACCATTCCTGCAGTGGCTTACATACTATTCAAGTGTCCACAACGGGCGTGCAAGACATTCCCACATAGATAGATAGATAGATAGATAGATAGATAGATAGATGTGTTGTGAACATACTGAGATAGATAGATAGATAGATAGATAGATAGATAGATAGATAGATAAATAGATAGATAGATAGATAGATGTGTTGTGAACATACTGAGATAGATAGATAGATAGATAGTGGCTTGTGTTTAAAGGGCTGTACTAAGTTATACTAAGTTACTTGAAGTTAGTTAGAAAGTTAATATTCGTGTTCGATTCTTCAAGAAACCTTTCAAGACATCTTAATTTCGATACTAATTAACTTTCTTAATTAGTTCTTTTTCTGCATTTTACCTAATTAAGCGTTTTTCCCTGCTTCTATACTCCATAAATCGAACACGGTCAGGCCTCATTGGGGCTTTAATCCCCTTGCACAATTGGATACCTACTCAACTAATTAAACTTCAATGGGAGACCGCTCGAGAAATACTAGGCAGGAAAGAAAGTCCTGACTCACTTAAGAAGCGGAAAGAAAAACAATAAATCTTGATCTCTGTCTGGTGGAAATTCCAAAGAGCACTGCATTCTGAGCTTGTTCCACGCGGTCGCGCCATCAACGATAAACTGTATTTCAAGCAGCTAGAACGCGTGTATAACTAACTCAAAGGAGATCCTGCTTTAGTCAATCGAGGTTGCTTTGTTTCAGCAAGACAATTCGGGTCCACACAATACCAGGTTGACAAAAAGAGAAGTTCAAACAGATGGAGAGTGTTGAGAATCTTCCACATCCACCGTTCAGTCCCGATGCTGCTTCAAGTGACTATGGCCTAATCTGCTCAATGGCATACTTCCTCCGCGACCAGTGATTCAACGTTTTGATGAAATAAAGGAAACTTGTTTACAGATTTTTTTATTCAAAGCCAGCGAGTTGGTATCTGGGATAGATTTGCTGGCTGATCGCCAGCAGAAGATCGTCGAGAATAATGGACTTTATTTTGAAGAATAAATGTTGGGTGTTCCATAAAATTTTGTTTGTTTTTCTGTTTCCTAAGAGTCAGAACTTTTCTGGACAACCTAATAAATATAATTATAATATAATTACCATTTAAATTATAAATTAAAAAAAAATATCTATAATAATAAACTGAAATTTTGTTATCTATAATTATGAACTAAAAATTTGGTAAGTAAATTTCACTCCAGAACTAGCGTTTCGGCTTCAGTCATTGTGCCTTTTCTATAATTTTGCTATAGTATTAGACTTCATGAATTTAAGCGCAGTAATAGATTGGCGGAAAGGTCTCAATATTTTACAGTTAAAGTGGCTAGATATGCCGTTAGTTCCATACTAACAGTTTTTTTCTCGCGCTTTCTCGCTTGTGGACCCTTCCGGCTCCATGCTTTTCAGCCGAATTTTATCTTCAAAAGTTTAAATGCAAATGTCAATCGCCATCTATTGTCCTCCTGATTACTCTTTCATTGTTCTCGCTCTTTTTCAATGTTTCTCTTTTTGTTTCTTTATCA